CACGGGTTCGCCCCCGCGATGCCCGTCCTTCCTGCCAGGGTGAGAGCCATGCGATGCCACCGAGGCTCTACAGGCGGGTGCGAAACAAATTCTCAATAACGGCGTTTAATCCATTTGTGATTTGCAACGTACGGTTTATATCCAGCGAATGCGCCGCGTTACAAAGTTTGGTGGCTTTATCTTATTATTCCTCTCCCGAGCGCGTCGTGGAACACGTTGAAACTGTTCATGTTCAAATGGAGTCCCCGCCCCGGTGGTCAACATCACCTTTTGAACGGCAAGATCAGCCGTGTAAATTCCGATGCCCCAGGGGCTTAACTTGCGTTAATTGAGGGGGCAAGGTTGTGTAAAAACGGAGCGCTGAATGGGGACGTGTGTGGGGATGGGTAAAGCGAGATCTCAAGCTTCCAGGGCTGAGTATCCAAAGATGCAGCGTCACCAGTGTATCTTTCCAAGATTTTCGGGCACCGTTGCTCAACTTGGTGTTGACAGTGTTCATACCTCCGTTCCTTTAAGCCGTCATTCTAAGGTGTAATTTTTCACCTTATAACTACGCCATTTTTCAGATGATGCTGTCACGTGCAACCACAAGCTAACGGCTGGGCATGCCAGTTAGCACACGGCTTTTCACGATGTCATCGGCGTCACTGGCAGTCTTTCTCCAGACGCTGTTTATTTCATACGATATTTCTTTACAGCCGGTCGCACACCTGCGAATACTTGCGTTACGAGCAATCGTTTTCCTGCCAAACGATGCTCCGTACAATCTTCACCCAGCACCTTTTTCGTATGATCCTTTGCTTTGAATGCCTTTCCGTGCGATCCTTTCTCCCATGTGATTCCTTTTCTGCTAACATTTTCTGTCTCATGCAATGTCTTGTTTGCGTCCTTTTCTCATACGGTCATTAACCGTATCATTTTGTGTCATGTAATCTGATTGCCCAGTCCCCTCGTCTGACCACATTCCCTTGGTGAACTCTACCTACCTGGTCTTTTCCACTCCCACATCCCAATCCCTTGTGGCCCATTGTCTCTCCCATGACACCATCCCCGTTGATCCGTCTCCTCCCCTTGGTCCCATCCGCCCCACACCCTCTCCGGCCCCTCCCCCCCCCCCCCCACGCGGCTCTGTTCCATCGTCAGTCCTCTCTCATCTGACCTCTTCCCTTCCCCAAAATGAGCCGGAAGATTTGGAAGCTTCCGAGCTGGAAACTCAGAACCTCACCGGTGAGCTTTGGCGAGCGTTGAAGCGGATGACTTTCATGCTGATTGAGTCGGTCCGGAGCGGTAGGAGTCTGACTCGGGAATGTCACGCCTGGATTGTGCTGGTGATGGACCCCAGCACGCCCTCACAGGATATCGATGTTGTCTGAACCAGGCACGTGCCTGGATCTCCCAAAAGATCCTGGATCCGGGAGGATTCGTTGACAAAATTATGGCTTGGGTCTTGAGCAAATTTGACAAAAACTTATGCAGCCTTTGTTCTCGAAAAAAGTTTGAAAGGTTTTGCCTGCAGCATACCGCTCAGGCTAAAGAGCACAAGATTCAGTAATGGAAATAGTTTTTTGCCGTCGCCTTTTGTTCACGTGTCTTTTGTTCTTCTTTTTTCGGCATTTTCCATCCTCCAAAATTGTTGATCAATGGATCGATGAATGGGAAAGTTCTAAATGCGATATTATCCATGCACGTAGTCCGCGAGGTGGCGAGGTGAAGCGGGCAATGTTTTTGTGATGTGATCGGAACGTTTTGAGTGGACTGATTCCTGGGATCGAATCTAACACCAAGCAGGGCCTGTTGTGTGAACCATGACTTTAGCGCAGCTGGTGCCACTGCTGCCGTCCTTGTCACGAGCCGAAAGCGAGCGCCTAAACGACACGAAGCCTCTCTGTGACGGGTGCGTGGGCCGAAACGCAGACGCTCCGACCCACTAAGCTAACAGAGAGGATAATTAGCTACCTGTTTGGAAATCTATTATGACTGCATGATGCAGTGCTTATGATAATATAGTTTCTTTATGCTATAAGATAGATATATCCAAGAGACATGTCATGACAGAGCATATCTATATTACACCCTACACTTGCCGACGGTACGCTACACCCCATACCAGGCTCACAATACCTCTCAAGTCACGTCCCCATTTACAAAATGGAAATTGTAACATACTCAGGTCGTTAACGGTTCACATTCGCCGGCATGCGGTGCATTCTTTCCAGGGGCAGACTAGTGAGCACACAGCGACACCTATTCGTAAATATTGTGCTGGAGCCTCACTCAGTGCCGCGAGGTGGCGAGGTGAAGCCTATGGCGAGGTGGATCTGATTGCGGGGTGGAGCTGGTTGCGGGGTGGAGCTAATGGCGAGGTGGAGCTGATTGCGGGGTGGAGCTGATGGCGAGGTCGAGCTAATTGCAGGGTAGAGCTGATTGCGAGATGGAGTTAATGGCGCGGTACAACTGCCTTTTTACACCACAAGGCTTCAGAAGACACCACTATGCTGCTTTCATTTCCACGCACAGTGTTTCGTTTGTGCCGTACAACAGTTGTGCAAACGCGAAATGTGACATCATGACCTGGGCCAAATGTCCATGTTAGAGCGTCAGTGACCTCACTCTCTCCTCTCCGTCGTCTCGGCATTCCTTGGAACGCGCACTGCTCTTAGTCGTGACCAGCGTGTACTAACGTGCACCCCATTTAACCTGCAGTTATTTGTTCTTATTCCACCCCGTCATGTTTGTCGGGATGAGTTCCGAAGGCAACGCAAGTCACTACGTCAGTTGGCCGTTTGTTCGCAAGCAGTCCAGTGCTGAGGCCAGTCGTGGAGGAATGATCAAATGGGTGGCAGTTGGAGGGGTGATACCTTGCAGCGTGTTCTCCCTTCGCAGTTTTCCTTCAGCCGGGACCGAAAAATGTTTGTTTGGGGGGATTTTTGTGACGATGTTTCAATGGTTTTGTCATACATAGCAGAGTAATCTTGTTCACATGCTGTACTCAATTACGTTCACCGGATTGACTATTTTTGCTATATTTGCGTCATTCGGGTGCCCCTTTCCATCGTTTCTCTTTATTTTGTGTTTGTACCCTGCAACATCATCTGTTCCCAGCATTCTTTCTGGTTTCATATGTGTTGCTATGTGATTCTGCACAGCGTTCGCTCTACCGTTTCTGAGCAATGGGTACTCGCGTCTTCTCGTCAGTAGATTAGCGCCAATGAAGACATTTGAAGTAATGCATAAAATGGTGCAGATCTTACTAACGTCGGTATTATGTTGCAACAGAGATCAGGTAACTGAGGGCTATTGACCTGACCGCTACAGACCTGTGCCTGGCCGTTACAGACCTGTGCCTGGCGTCCCTAAAAGGCCTGGATTCTGAGGAATCCGTGGGAAAAATTATGCTGGGATCCCAGATCCCAGCAATGGGCTAAAATAACAGAAAAGGTCCTGGATCCTGAGGATCCTGGACCCAGGAAGATTTGAATCCGGGGCTCCGATTCCGTTGCTGGGATATATTCCCGGAATTTACGCGTGAGAACTTATTCAAGACATTTGAAATGGGTAGTCGTAACTGACACACAGCAGTACACCAACAACACTGTTTACGCCTTCGATGATGATAAACGAGGAAGAGCTGTCACGGGTGTGACATTTTTTGCTCGTCAGTAGCATTGGAAAAACAGTGTTGTGTTTCGCTTGCTGTTTTCGATGAGGCGAAGGCAGTCTGCTTGTGTCTGTAGATTGTTTTGGGGAGCTTCAAAGCATACCCTGGGGCGAAGCCGAAGTCTTTTGATGTGCTGAACCCGTAATGAAAATGTCTCCAGATGACAAAACATGCTAACAAAACCTGGCGGATTAGTGCTGAAGTTTGAAATTAAGACCCTGACAAATTAAATTCATGTAGGCAGGGCAAAGCAGCACGCCTCACTTTTGGCAAGCCAGATTTTCTACAAGGGCAAAATGTCTTTTGAAGCTCTCGCTGAAATGCACCGCAAACTTTCGGCGAAAGCATCCCAATTCAAAAGTCCTCGCAGCCAACCGACAATGACTGAGATAAAAAAAACTGTTCAGTAGCAGTCTAGAGCATCGATACCGAGCTTCATCTTGGCTTAACATGTCTCCTACGTTGCACCTATTCAGCATCCCAACACGAACTGCACGAGTCTGGTTGAAGACCAACCATGAACCAAGACAAGCCCATGATATCCAAGTTTTTAAAGGTGTATTTGTTACCATCTGACTCATGCGTCCATTTGGTCATCACACGCGAGATAAGGTTCACGTCTGCTCTTTTGTGAGATGCATGACGACGAATTGGTCCGTTAGCTTGTTCTCCACATTAAGCGTGATAATATTCCGGCGACAGAATGCACCACATCACTCGTCAGGGTATTATGTCACCAAGGCGTGAAGAACCGTTGCATATTCCCCACCAGACCTGCGACGACAGTTCGACTCGCGCGTCCGCTCAGCCGTCAAGGGTGGCCGGCCGGTGTGTCTGTTACTCGTGAGCATGTGTGCGCGCGCGGTGTGTGTGTGTGCGTGTGTGTGTGTGTGTGTGTGTGTGTGTGTGTGTGTGTGTGTGTGGTGTGTGTGTGTGTGTGTGTGTGTGTGTGTGTGTGTGTGTGTGTGTGTGTGTGTGTGTGTGTGTGTGTGTGTGGTGTGTGTGTGTGTGTGTGTGTGTGTGTGTGTGTGTGTGTGTGTGGTGTGTGTGTGTGTGTGGTGTGTGTGTGTGTGTGTGTGTGTGTGTGTGTGTGCGTGCGTGCGTGCGTGCGTGCGTACGTGCGTGTGTGTGGGGGGGGGGGTGCGTGGGTGGGTGTGCTCTGCCGCCAGAAATGTGCTAATTGCGAACATATGCCCTCCGAATGCCCGCCAGTGGTTCGACGTATGTGCCTGCTCTATCATCAGGCGTATGATAGCCATCTGCCGTCACCAGATATTCGATGACCCACCCGTCTGTTCCGTCGCCAGGTGTGTGATGACCTGCCCGTCTGTTTCATCAACAGATGCGAACTATCACCAACTTCTTTTTGGTGAACCTGGCGGTCTCCGACTGCATGATGTCCACCATGAACATCACCTTCAACTTCGTCTACTTCCTGAACAGTCACTGGCCGTTCGGTGAAGCCTACTGCAAGATCGTGCAGTTCGTTAGCGTTCTGAGCGTCTCGGCGTCCGTCTTCACCCTCGTCGCCATCTCAATTGACCGGTGAGCCGAAACCGGTTAAAACTGGTTCAAACGGATTGGTTGAAGCCGATTCAAGCGGATCGGTCGAATTAACGTTTATAATTTGTTTTAAGCCATTCAATTGCTTGAAGACCCGTTGCTGTTTATTCGTCTCTGAAATAGAATCGGTGAGGTAATGAACAACACAGAAAATTGTTGACTATGGTAACGACGCAAAAAGGAACTATGCTTGCTTTAAAAAAAACTTAGTTTGCTGGTTCTGCCCAAGGGTGCTCAAGGTACTGAATCGATACGTAGGAATTTCTCTTAAAACACCAGGTAAACAACTAACTTTGCTTTATCTCGGAGGTGAGGTTTAGAATCTAGGGAAACCTCTGGAATTGACGGCAGTGCATGGTTGTCGTTTCGTGTAAGGTCATCACTGTTGCGTTTCTTGAAGACGTGGAGTTGTTCTACTCTTTTTTCTCATCACGTTGATTGCGGTAAGGTACCCCTTAGACCAATTCAGCTCACGTCCCTCGGATTTTAACCGAACTGACCACTGCCCAACTCAGCCGAACTAAAATGCTAGGCTTTGTGAGTAGAACAAGGAAGGAAACCCGGAAACGACAAAACTTTCAGAAAGTCTTAGATCCACAAGCGAACAATATCCTCGTGATAGAGTGCTTGCTCTCTGCAGACTTCCGCCTCTCAGAAATCTGACTGCTCTTTTGTCAGATCTGGTGGCATTACGCATTTGTCAAACGTCATACGCTAGTAGCATTGCGCCTTGCATAATCCTGAATGATATTTCAACTGCAAACTTGTATTCGTCAGCCGTTGCCATCCTCGTGGCTCTTAAGTTGGACCACCAGTCGGAATGAAAGCATTTCGGCACAGCCTTGGTGTTTAAAATTTAAACGCATCCGTAGGATGTCACTGAATGAAAACTGGAGCTTCGAAGTCCCAACTTAGATGGGCGCATGGATCAATGTTCGTTGCTTGTTAACGACCTTGGTTCTGTGAGAATTGAGACGAGGCCGGTCTGTTTAAGCCTTTCCCTCGCTGGGTAAGTGTTTCGCCCTATCGCCGTCGCCGGACGAGGCGGTTTTAGAGTTCCCCGCCTCCCCGGTTTACCCTCGCCGGGGACGGCATTTTTTGACACTCGCTTTTGTGGGCAGGCGCAATTTAAGCTCCTCTTGGGTTTGTCCAGAATAACCCCCAACGGTGCGGCTTAGAAAGGTCAAATGGCGTGTGGCTGTAGAGAATCGAAAAGCTGATCTTTTGGTTAACCAAAACTAGACTTTCGCGCTGACCTAAAGCAGGTGACCAAAGTCAGGCCGTGGTTGTCGGCAAAGGCAATTCGTAAGGTAACCTCCAAACTGAGGAACAAGGGGGCGTTATACAAGGTGATATAATTTTGAGATGGTTTCGACGACAGTTGGACAATTGAGCTCACTTATGTTGGTCAAATAAATTAATCCCACGAACGTGGGATTACAACAAGTTCAGCTCACCTGTGCTCAGGTGTGATGGAAGTTCAAAGCCAACCATATGTTTTTTAGAATACTTGATTTGCTAGATCGTTTTGGCGTTCATCTCTAATCGCTTGATAACAGGGACGTTAACTGTTCTCGTATTTTGAGTTCATACCGAGCAGTATAGTCACGGACCTGAAGTTAAAGCGAACAAGCTTTTGTTTTGAAAATCATGCCGCCCACGGAAGTTCCAGACGCTGATTTTAGATTTAAGTGTCTGAATGAACTCGAAGGCCCTTGGTCCGTTTGACAGTTCTCAAGGTCAAAGAAGGTCGCTGACCTGATCTTAACACTAGCGACTTTTTTACGTTCAAACTGGTTGTGTCAGATGGTATAAGTGCACTTTGGACACTGATGTCAAGCTCGTTCTGGTTTGACCCTACTTTATTCGAAAGTCTCAATCTGCTCCTACCTAAGAAATTGGCGTAAACGAGGCCATATGGTTTCTTACGAACCCTCAGAATTTTATGTTTATAGTTGTCTTACTTTTGATACATGAAGAATTCAAAGATTCCCACCTCTGTCCCCCACTGCCTGTCCACATCATACGCAAGCTTAGCACTAACACCTGTGACCGCACAACGTGCGACCACAAACACCTGCGACCGCACAACGTGCCACCACAAATGACTAAGGCTACACAGCCCGCGACCACAAATGCCTGTGACTACACAACCTGCAACTACAAACACCTGTGGTCACACAACCCGCGACCACAAACACCTGTGACCACACAACATGCGACCACAAATGACTGTGGCTACACAGCCTGCGACCACAAATGCCTGTGACTACACAACCTGCAACTACAAACACCTGTGAATACGCAACCTGCGACCTTAAATACCTGTGATCACACAACCTGCGACCACAAATACCTGTGATCACACAACCTGCGACCACAAATACCTGTGATCACACAGCCTGCGACCACAAATGCCAGTGATCGCGCAACCTGTAACCGCAAATAATCGCAACCACACATATTTGCGGTACGTTAAGTAAAACCGCTTATGTCAATATTTCCGTTCACAGACTCAGGCCGTGTATTTGACAACTAATCATGATGTGACAACGAATTAAGCGCACCCAGCAGCGATGTTTACTGGCTAACGCTTATCGAACTATACTAAATATGGGTTATCGTTGCTGACAGTGGAACAAAATAAGAATATATGAAGGGAAATATTTGTCTGCCATGATTTCATCATTTAGCTTATCTCAACAAACTCGGCCTTGGATGTCCTGACATTACTTAATTTTGTCTGATCATACTGGCAGCAAAGAATGGTAGAGTAACTGGACCCTGGACAGTTGTATAGGCTGCATTTTTTCTTCAAACGTAGGTAGGTCGCCTAAGCGCAAAATGCGAGCGAAACTACCGGCAAAAAGATAATTAATAACGACCCTCGAATGGAATGGCCAGCGATCTATCAACGATCACAAAGTCACCCATCGCCCAGTCACCAATCATCAAGCCACCGATCCTCACGCCAGTAATCATCAAGCAACCAATCGTAAAGCCACCAATCAACGAGGCACCATTTATTAGACCACCGATTATCAAGCCACCAATTATCAAGCCACTAATTATCAAGCCACCATTCAGCAAACCACCGATACATCCACCAAACACCAAACCGCTGATCATCAAGGCACCAATCATCAAGCCACCGATCACAAGAGCCGTCCACGTCCAGACCCATAAACGCATGAGGCCGCGCCAGCTGAGCCTCTACAGTTGAGTTGCAAGGAAATTGAATGTAAAAGTTACCACGCACGGCGCACTATCACTGGTCCGGAACACTTTGGTTCGGGTACAGTTCTAAGTTCCGAAGTCTGCAGAGGTTCGGCTGATGGCACGCATTTCGTGCCAAGTGCCACCGATCGGTTGAAAACCGGCATTAGTCTTTCCAGCGACCCGGTGCACCAGATGGTGTCTCTTGTGTCGCACTCCGCCTACGCGTTTGGACGCAGCATGCTCGAAATATTGGAAACACGCCTGCTTCACATGAAAGTTCTGACAAATATTGCATGGGGTTGTTTTCTGAACTAGCACCATGCGTGAAAAACCTGGGTTCCTAAGCACGTGCAAAGCATCCTTTTATCTCTCTCGTTTTTGAATAGCAATCATTTCGCCGGGCCAAATGATTCGACTTTATGTGACGCAGCGCCAATATCACTGCATTCCGGCTGACCATTAATGTTTGTTTCCTGGAGGTCCTTCAACCAGCAAACGCAAACAAGCAACTTTGAAGCAGTTATACTGGTCGGTAGCACCCGTATCAGCCTTAGATGGAAAGGGTCTGACATTCAATCTATCGTTTCTGAGCAATAGTCTGCACCTTCCGGGCGCTTCAAGGAAACTCCTGTCTTCTTTGTAAAAGAGCTGGATCTGAGGCTTTGATGTGCCAGGTCGATTATACGGATCTGATTGTTCAGCTAGAGGCTACCGAAGTTCCTGAAATCACGTTGCTTGGTATCAATGGCTGGTCTAAATTATATTGCATAGCTCACAAGAAATATCAAGCCTTTCGCTGGGGACGACGGGGAGGGAAGGTCATCTCTCCACATCGGTCGAAGCCGTTTGTTCGGTAGCGACGGTGGCACTGCGGGGAGGAGGGGGGGGGGGGGGGGAGTGACCCGATCATGAATGCATCAAAAGCGAGGTTAACCCTTGTCTTGATAGGGGGAAAGGGGTGGTGCGATCTCCTTAAGCTTTTTGAGGGCACTTCTCCGGAGCGTTGTGCAATGGCGCCCAAATTTTCAGTAGTCTGTAGGGGGTATTTGGGGCCGGTTTTGACAGCAAAAACGCGTTCCAATCTTTTCTGCTTTTGGAGCAGCGGTGGTTTCTAATGTGTCATTAACGACGCCGCGCCCCAAAACTGTATGTTCAAGACATTTAAGAACGCATACCATTGTGCCCAGTATTGAACAAGAAACACAACTGCTTAGGTTTTATGTTACCACAAGACATGGTTTCGTATGTACGCTTCTGTAAAATTGAGCAGTGCGATTTTCTGGAACATTTGTCCTTTGACTTGACATAATTGGGTCAATTATTGATCTACAAACATAAAGTCTAGCACCGATCGTGAGATCTCGTTGAGACCAACCCACTGATATTTTCTGCTAAGCTCTGTCTTAATTATATTGGATATGTCTTGGGGATCGCATCGATTCCCCTTCTGTTCCCCACATCAGTCCGCGTTGTGAAAAAACAGCGAATCAGGACGAGGGTGTATTCGTGCGTTTACTATCTGCTGCCATATCAGCCCAATGTTTCCCAAACGCATTTTGGCGAATAATCTCATCCTCCGGCGGTGTTTGGATTTGACATTGTTTTGCGAAGGAATGAAAGGGTGGATAACAAGTTTAATGCAGATCACAGGCAAGTTAGGTTTTGCAGGGCGTGTGACGGGCGAGGTACGACAGACGCGACTTCTCATCATGCAGATGATAGCGAGGCATTAACCAGCGGAACTGGTAGTATTTGCGAACTCCTGCA